CATACTGGCTGGTCCTTCCAATGTAGAAATGTAGATTGTGGATATCCGTGTCATCAGGTGTACCTCCTCCAACAGCAGCTTTCATAAAGCGTTTAATTTAACTATTGTTCACTGATTCTTCATCATTCATTTCTAATGCAGTGTCTTGAGTAGCCCTTCTTTTCCATCTTCTCACAATGAAAATATGTCATGAAAAGTGGTCACATAAACTGTAATCAATTCAATAACGATTCCATCATGAGAGAAAGTCAAGCTTAATGTCACATGATTTCTTTATTGTCTGTCAAAGAGCCAATGACATTATTTACTGAACAACACTTGTACTGTACTCAGGAATCTCACAAATCCCTGCTTATTAACCACATTTTTCTGTTAGAAAGTTTTTTTTTAAATAAAGAAAGCCTATGAAGCAGAATTTGTGCAAAATCTTATGCGTGAAAAGAAGAAAACACTTGCTGTGGCTTTCAACTCGACATTTAGATATATCGACAACGTATTGTCAATTACCAATGGTCACTTCCATTCCTACGTCGATACGATATATCCTAGTGAGCTTGAGATAAAAGATACCACAAAGTCTGACACATATGTTTCATACTTGGATATTTTACTTGAAAAAGATGGTAATCTAACAACCAAACTATATGATAAACGTGATGACTTTAACTTTTCTGTCGTCAACTTCCCTTACTTATGCAGCAATATACCTTCATCACCTGCATACGGAGTGTATATGTCTTAGTTGATTCGATACACAAGAGCATGCTCTACATATAAACAATTTCTAAAACGAGGCAAATTATTGACAAGCAAGTTGATGAAACAAGAATATCAATAGTCTCGTTTAAAGTCATCATTTCGTAAATTTTATGGTCGATACAATGATCTTGTCACTGAATTGACGACGACGACGGATTTTTCAGTTATTTTCATATCAAGACAGGGAGCACACGGCGGGTGTGATCGGTCAGCAGGGAATGCTCACTCCTCCATTGCACCTGATCCCACCTCTGATGTTTCGGAGGTCCGTGTTTTACGTAACTGAGAAACGTGTCTTCGTATGTTAAAATATATGTAATCATTAATAAAGTAGGACACGAATTTGTAAACATAAAAATAGGACAGTTTTAGTTCCTTTACAGCGTGATTATTTACAAGTTGTATTAGTTTTAGATGCAATTTATTTAATGGGCACAATAAAATAATTAGTAACGCTCATTAAAGTTGTTGCATTGTAATTACAGATTTTCTAGTGCTTGCATGTATATTGAAGATGCAGAACCATAAAGTCTCAAAGCAATAAGGTAAACGGTATTTTAATTTATATTCTTAAATTATGCATGTAAATCAATAACGTTTCACCAAATAATTCTAGATTTGTTGCAGGTACTACAGTGTGAAGGTACATATATCTTTATTATTGACCAGTCACTTATGAATAAATTAAAAACCCATGTTATGTATATTCTACTATAACCTTATATTGGGTTTTATTAACATGATGTCACTGCTGCATGTTTTTGAAGCAGCTAATTATCGTCTATTGAATTGTATAATCATGATGTCATTGTTACCAACTATATTTATAATAGAGCTACTTTTTACTAAAAGCATACACTATATTATATAAGTTTATGCTTGATATATTTACTTAACAAAATTACTCTTGATTTACCTTTTATACATGTATAAATTTTGTCAATCCAGGGAGCCCCTGGCACCCCTGGTGAGGTATATGATGAGGGCCTCTGCGGAGGTGATGCCTCAAATATGAAACTATGTATATATTTGAAATAAAATCTTTTATTCAAAAAAAAAAAAAAAAAAAAAAAAAAATTAAAAACCCAAGGCGTTCATTAGTTGGATCCAGAAAGTTGTATACGATATATTGAACAGAATAGCAACATGCTATACTTCAAAAACTGTCAGATACGACTTTAGAAAGTTGGATAATACAAGTAATAGTATGTTTCACACAGTAATATTTTGCTATATACGACAAGTTGTGTATGATATGGAAATAGCGCGCTTGTCCGCGAACTTTTCTAACAGCCCTCGTACATGTATGTGACTAGGGTATAAAATAAGAACCCTTGAAATTCCTATAGGTTGGATCCGGTGCATCGACGGAGTAAGCATTCCCTTGTTGATCGGTCCCATTCGCTGTGAGCCCTATGTATTGATAGAATAAACTTCTGTAGTCAAGTCAGTATGAAGAAAAAAGGCCTAACAATTGGTAAGAAAATGTCAGCTAAAATACACCCTGAATGATAGATTTAATTTGCTAACAAGGTCATTAGATCAAGCATACAAATACAGAATGCGACTTTAAAAGAGAAATTCCTGTCACATCAGCTATTCAATAAGAAGCTTAAGAATTTATTGTACTCAAAGCAAGATTTTGAGTAACGAACACACTGGGAGACATAAACACTATAATTATTATGAGTGGGCGATCGTGACAGTGGAATATTACTACACAAATAAGTTGACAATGGAAAAGCTGAAGCCATCTCGTTTGTCATGCAATTTAGTTGTTGATTGGCCTTTATTTAGTCAGTAATACATCCAAATATGAAACAGATGTGGCATACTCTCTTGTGTCTCAAAATTCCAGTTCACTGGGATATATCGAGACGACATATAAATGAAAATAACATTTTTTAATTGATAAAACATCGTCGATGTATCTGAATGTCGAATTGAAGGCCAAAATTCAAACAGAAAAATGAAGAATATAAATCTAAGCATTGGATTTTTTACTGTATACAGGGTTATTTTCGCCCCGTGTTATTTTCGCCCTTTTGAACTTGTGAACAATTTTGCCCCGTTTTAAATTCGCCCAGTCATAGTTCTGTTTAAGAAATTATGAGGTGTAATTTGAATTCGCCCCGTTTTAAATTCGCCCAATCAAGGAGAGGGCGAAAGGGGCGAAAATAAAACGGGGGCGAAAATTTCCCTGTATACAGTATGTTGTCGATCGTATAGCACTGCCTGTCCGTGCCGCCAAATTAACATACCGCTAACGCGCGGTATTCAGTAAGATAGCACTGCCAGTTGCTGTTATAGAACTAACGTCATAAAAATAGAATCCAATACCTTAATTAAAAATTTGACACATAGGAAAGATCTAAGACTTCTTTTGCTATATTTTTAAATCAAAACTTGAAATGTGATTTGTTATAACAACATACTTTTTTTTCAGTTGTCACACTTCATTAGATTTAGAAATACACATAACAATATAGAACATTTTAAAAAGTACTAGGGTTCTTTAAGCCTTCATTGCTCAATTTTACACACGATTTCAACAAGTTTCAAGACTATTCAATAGGCCGATAAATCACTTTTCATCATGATTATTGTGTATGTTTATCAGATCCACCTTTCCTTCAAATTATTGAATTGCAATATTAATATAAAAGCCATAATTTAGCTCTTTTAAAATCAATTTACAAACATATATTGAAAAACTTTTAAGGCTAAATATTTTCTCTTTCAAAAAGCAAAATGCATTTTATGGAGATAAATGTCTAATATAATGAGATTCTCGATATCCATTTTGAAGGAATCAAATTTGACAGTCTTGTCAAGAATGCATTTCATCTGACAAAGCTTTCCAAGAGCAATCATAGTTTTCCAAGAGCAATCATAGTTTATCTCTTCAAATCTACATTCTTCAAACTTAATTCTGCATTAAGACAGGTCTGTTTAGATTGTCTACTATTCTTCACATTGTGGTTTCCTTTGCAAGGACATTTGGTTTGTTCTCGACATTAATCATATGGATAAACTAATAAAGTTTATCTCCTCTGGATAAACTAGGTTATTTTGAGCACATAATTATTGACTATAGAAAGATAGACAACTCTTACTTGTCAGATTTATACAACTGGGCATGCGCAAGGTAAACTTCCTTTTCCTGTTGAACAACAAAGCTGCTGGTACCAAAAATTTTAACTGAAGAAAATTACTTTCATCTAAGGCATCACGAAGAGAAAGTCAAAGTAAGTTTGTTTAATTAATGAGTTATTAATTAGGATCAATTATTTGAATGATTTATTTAAAAATTTAGGGTTTTAGTCACGATTTATCAGATTAAATTTTTGGAAAATGATCTCGACCTTGCTCATAGGTCAGCCATGTTGTAAAAAAAAAAAAAAAAAATGAATGAGTCAGAGTAGAAAATTATTCAACTAACTTGACAGGGAAAAGTTTAGTTTAGTTGCAATAAATGGTAATATGTTTTGGTATTAAACAATCAAAAAACAAAAAAAAAATTGACAGAGATTAGTTTAGGTGCTATGAATTGTAATTTGTGCTTGCATTATATTTAAATAAATAATAGGAATATTACAATTAAAAAAAAAAAATGATGAATTTTAAATGGAATTAAAATGACATTTCTTTTGTTTTATGAGCCATGTTGAGAGCCAATAAAACCAGGGCATCGAAGGCCAAAAGCCCATATGCCCGCCCAGTATCTAGGACTTCTGCGGCGCATAGTATTATTAGTTACATAGTCTTTTAGTGACAGGGTATGGGATGATACCTGGTTAGTAAATTTCATACCTGGCGAGGCGGAGCCGAGTCAGGTATGAAATTTACTAACCAGGTATCATCCCATACCCTGTCACTAAAAGACTATGTAACGAATTTACCCCATCGATGAAACATTTAATACGTTTTATCTGTTGTTTACAAATGGTTTTCTCTGCTAAATGCTTCATCAGGCTTATACTGTGCCTATTATGACGTCACGTTTGTGTTTGTGACGTAATACATCGACCGGGTATAGATTTACAACTGACCGGGTATAAGTAATCCACCGCCTTCACGTGACAGACTTCAACCAATCGCAAGCCAGGATTTCACGGAAAAATCGACAGAGGTGGGGTAATGTAGCCTCCAGGGTGACCACCCAAGCATCCACGGTAGCGTCGACGTCCATTGACCCCATCATACCGACATCAGTCAACAGTCATTATTCCCAGGCAGCTATGTCAGTGCCAACAAGAACTTACATGGTCAGCCAAGAATCGCTTGTTCAATCAGTACCCTTACAGCCTGTCTACGAGACTGCAGACATCCTAACTCCGGTTGTGCAGACTGTACCCACCCAACAGACAGTGGAGCCGCAGCTGCCTGTGCCAACAACTAGCACTACAGCAGGTATAAATTGCATGGTTGAAATAGATAGGCCTACACCTTTTCAGAGTGTAGCATCAATGCTTGGAGCTCATGTCTCTCAAACATTGAAAGAAAAAATTTGGAATAACGAGTATGTCGCTTTGAGCAAACTGTTGATCAAAGAGCCAGTTTCAGATATACAGCATCATATTGTTTATCTTGATGGTTTAATTCAGGTTAAACCTAAGTACAAAGATGAAAAAATTATGTCTATTTCACAATGGACTGATGCCTTTTTAATTTTTGCCTCAATTTACTGCGCCAAGCACTCTGCACAAGCTATAAATTTATTTCGTTATATGGCAACAATTAGAAAAGGTGCAGAGCGTTCACCTACGTCTTATGGTTGGAGGGATTATGACATCCAGTTTAGGCTGAAAAAATCATTTGATTCAAATCTTAACTGGGGTTCGGTTGATGCTGAACTTTGGTTGTTTTATATGCAGCCCACTGTACAAAATTCTAGTCAGAATCCCCCCAAACAATTTAAATGTTACTCTTACAATTTTCAGGGTGTTTGCGAAAAACACAATTGCAAGTTTTTGCATATTTGTGTGAAATGTAATGGTTCACATCCTTCTTTACATTGCAGATCTTCCCAGAATAACAATGTCAAACAATTCCCCCAGTCTAGGCCCACACAACAGCAGTTCCGCCCAAGATTCCCACAGCGAGCAATTCGACCTACACAATAAGTTATGGGATTTAGGCCATTCTCCAATTAAAACCAACAATCTTCACAAATTATTAATAAATTATCCTGACAGAAAAGTTGCCAACATATTAGGGCAGGGTTTTGAGAAAGGGTTTTTGTTAAATTATCAGGGCCCTAGAGTAAGGGTTGAATATAAAAATATGAAGTCTGCAATTCAACACTCTAGCGATCTAGAAGAAAAGATTAAGAAGGAAATTGGATTAGGTAGGGTTTTGGGTCCTTTTTCAGCCCCCCCCCCCCAATATCAAATTTAAGATGTAGCCTAATAGGTTTATTACCTAAAAAACAAGGTGGATGGCGTATGATAACCAATCTTTCACATCCTTATGGTGATAGTGTTAACGATTACATAGATCAGCAAGATTGTACTGTCAGCTATGCTTCGTTTGATGATGCAATTAACATAATTCAAACCAAAGGAAAAGGGGCCCTTATGGCAAAGATGGATATTTCTAGTGCATTTAGGCTTTTACCAATCAATCCTCAGGAATTTTGTCTGCTAGGTTTTAAGTTTAATAATGCATATTATATTGACAAGTGTTTGCCAATGGGGTGTTTAGTATCTTGTTCACTGTTCGAAAAATTTTCATCATTTTTACATTGGGAATTAGAACAGAGGTCACAAAAGGATGGTATTGTTCATTACTTAGATGATTTTTTTTTGCTGGATCAGCGAATTCTAGTGAATGCAGAGAATTAATGTATCATTTTCAAGAACTGAGTCAATTTTTAGGAGTTCCAATTACACCAGAAAAAACTCAAGGTCCTTGTACAAAATTAACATTTTTAGGGTTAGGAATAGATTCTGTTGAAGAGACAATTTTTGTTCCAAAAGAGAAAGTAGATGAATTGTTGGAAAAGATAAAGTATGTTCAGTGTAGTAAAAAAGTAACAAAGAAAGAATTAGAATCGCTTGTTGGTTCACTTGCCTTTGTTGTAAAAGCACTACCGGCTGGTAGGGCATTTTGTAGGAGAATTTACGGGGCACTACAAGGTGTTGATAAATCTTTTCATTTGATTAGAATATCTAATGAGATTAAGTTGGACCTTCAAATGTGAGTTGTATTTCTGCAAAAGTTTTAATGGACTAACTCGGTTTCCATCAGTAGATTGGTCAGATAGTGATATGTTGCAATTTTCTACAGACAGTTCAGGGTCGGTTGGGTGTGGTGTTGTTTTTGGCGATGAATGGAGTGTGTTAGTTTGGCCAGCAAGTTGGTCTCAGGAGATAAAGAAGGATATTACTTTGTTGGAGCTCATTCCAATATTGTTAGGTATTGTTATTTGGGCAGAAAAACTAGCTTCTAATAAATTGCTATTACATGTAGACAATTTAGCACTTGTTCACATAATTAACAACAAAACGTCAATAAATAAGAGAGTTATGGTTTTGCTGAGAGCCTTGGTCCTCAAAACATTGCAGAATAATATTCAGATCAAATGTCAACATATTCAAGGTATAAAGAATGATAAGGCAGATGCTCTCTCTCGTTTTCAGTTTTCGAGGTTCCATCAGCTGGCTCCTGGGGCTCGGCCTTATCCCTGTCCAGTTCCTATGCAATTTTGGCAAATTATTCATCAACTGTAGAGAACCTGGTAGATGCTAGCATTTCGGACAATACAAACAAAGTTTATAGGCAGGCATTCAAACCTTTATTTAACTCTTTTCCACAATTGTGGCCTCCACCTGTTGACCATGTCATCAATTTTGTTGCACACATGTCAGAGAAAAAATGCGCCTTTTCAACTGTCAAGTGTTATCTGTCTGGTCTGAGCTTTTTTATAAACATTCATGGATGGCCAAATTCTGTGGAGTCATTTTTAATTAAAAAACTGCTTACTGGTTACAAAAAGTTGACTGTGTCTAGTGATATTAGAAGGCCTATTACCTTGCACTTATTAGGTCGTATCATAAATACCTTGCCGTATGTTGCACATTCTTTATACGAGGCAACATTATTTCAATGTGCCTATTCAGTAGCATTTTTTGCATTGCTTAGAGTCAGTGAAGTAATAGACCTTCAATCTGATAGTGTTCAGTTATTACAAGACCATGTTAGTCTACTGATTAAAAGTTCTAAGACTGATCAAATGCACAGGGGTTCAGCAGTTAAAGTTCCAAAGCATGCCCAGTCATTAATTTTGTTTACAATACTGCAGAAATTTCCTGCAATGCGTCAGACAATTTCAACTACAAAATTTTTTGTGCATTTCAACTCCAAGCCTTTGACTCAGTATCAGTTTTCTACAATACTCAATAAATGTTTATCATTTTTGAATATAAACACATCGGTTTTTAAATCTCATTCTTTTAGAATTGGTGGGGCCACACATCTGTATTTAAATGGTATGAGCGAAGCTGAAATCAAAACCATTGGCAGATGGAGTTCTGCTGCCTACAAGTCATATATAAGGCCAATTGTTTAATAAGTTAGATGCAAATTTATTTTGTTCAAAATCGTTTCAGATTGCATATGGATCATTGGTTCATCTTTGATATTTTGGGCTCAGAAATATGCTCAACAGAGAATGCTTAACAACCTGGGATTTGAATCACATAGGATAATTTGGCATGGAATAAGGGGTATGGTTTGGTCACAGCTTTATCCAACTATCCAAAAGAAATTAAAAGATAATAACCCACCAACAATCCTAGTAATACACTGTGGTGGCAATGATATTGGTAATCCGCATAATACGTTGAAGGGTTTACAAATGTACATGAAATCTACCATTGTAAATATTTCACAATTAATGCCAAAGACAGTTATTGTTTGGTCTCATATTTTACCACGAAGTAATTGGACCTTATGTCTTTCTAACAATGATGGAGAAAATTGGAGAAGAAGAATCAATTCTGCACTTGCTACTTTTGTTGTTAAGAAAATGTGTGGGGCCTCCATTAAATATCCTGATATTTTAAAAAGACATGTAGCCCTTTTTCGCAAAGATGGTGTACACTTGTCAGACTTGGGTAATGACTTGTTCGTGAATTCTTTAAGAAATGCTCTGGGGGTGTTTTTGTCAACCACTGACAGATTTTATCCTACTACTCCCACATGTACTTGTTAAGTCTTGTCATGGCCAATCCTTGAAGTTGTGAAGTTGCATATTTGAAAATTGAATTGTATACAACTACTGGTTGAGTGTTAAATTGATAAATATGTATTTGTATTGATGAATGCAAAATTGACCGCCTAGATTTGTTGGCGGATGACCCACAAAAAATATGTTTTGTGGTTCATTAGGCAGAATTTTGCAGAGAATGCCACCTCCATGTTTTTTCCAGGTCCCTTGGGTCAAGGTGGTGTTTCTACTGCTTTGAGTTGTTTGTGTATATGCTGCCATATCGATTTGAAGATCGGCGCATATTTTGTTGTTTTGTTGAAAAAATTGTGAATAAATGGCCATAAGTACGCCAAACATTAATTATTTGTAATATTTTAATTAGGTTAGGTCAATAAGGTCATTAGGATATTAAGTATCAATTTGTAGAAATTATTGTTATTGGTCTTCCAATGGTAAAGAACAATGGTTTGTAAGGGGTGCTTTGCTGTCTAAAAATAACAAGCAAAGACGGTTTTTTGACGTATTTTATATTGTAAAATGTACTTTGCAAACAATAAAAAAGAATAACCATTCTCCAGACCTCTGAATTTGAGGGGTTTTTTTAATTCCAAACGTAACAAAAGAGGCTATGATTGGCGATGAGAGATGATGAGGCGATCTATGATTATGGATATTGCAAATCTTAGGCTTTTTAAACTCCCACGTTTTACTTAAGAAAATGCCGCTTAAACAATCATTAATTTTAAACTTCAATATGCCAATAAAGGAACTGACGCGATTAATATAAGTAATATTCTTAACCACAAAAGAATATATGTACAGTCTTGCGTTCCACCATATTCAACTTGAAGACTACACCTTGTATTTCCTACAATTATACATCGACTATTGCTTCCAAACTTTTTTTAATTACAGTAAAACTTTACATGGCCTGGATATCGAATATCTGAACCTCAGTCCTCCATTGCGTTCATATTCTTCTTTACACTACAACTACAGTCCTGCTGGACACGGTATTACTGGTGACGTAAATAAAATTAATAATGAGGACCTTAGATCACTAATTTTTAAAGGTCCTGAATATAGGTAGCCCCGATCCTTCAACAGACGTCGGAATTTCGGGAATAGAATATTACGCCAGGTGATGGACAAGACATGAAAAAGAAGACTTTGACACTTTGTCAGAATGGATTATTAAATGCATCAGCTGTATGTTAAAATCGCGCGTTAAGCTATTAAGGGGCATTATGAAAACTATCTATCCTCCTGTTTTCAATAACCCAGAAGTAAAAAAAGGAATAATTATTAGAAAGATTACACGATTAGTATGTACTGGTCCCTGTTGACACAGCAGGTAACAATGTTGTCTTCGTTTGTAAAGCTCATTTTAGAGAAACATGGATTTAATTCTATAGGTGTAAATCCTACTTAAACCAATAGCTCCCTTTCTAAGGAAGAAATTATTCACAACCAAATGTCAGTTTTGAATATTTTTAATATTCCAAACAACCAAAATGAATTTAAATTACCATATCTATGCTGGATTCCGAAGCTTCATAGAAATCCTTACAAAGATACATACATGTAGCAGGTTCCTAGAAATGTTCTACCAAGCCTCTTTCTTTACTCCTCACCAAAAGTCCAAAACATTAACAGTAGTGAAGGAGAAACTTCAGGAGTTATATGCAATAATATATTTGAGAAGCGGTGTAAATAAGATCTGGATATTAAAAATTCCAAGGGACGTTTGGAAAATTGAAGTCACAAAATTGTGCAAAATTCAACAGCATTAAAACTTACGACTTTTCAACTTATATGCAACCATTTCTTCGCGATTAATAAAGTTTAGGCTTTTTCATATCATTGACAGCTTTAAAAAGAATGGAATTAGTAAATTTACTTACAGTGTCTTTGGTCATTTGCAAATTTATTTTGTTAAAGGAGATTCTGATTGTTTACACAAGTTCTCTGAAGTTGATAATAAAAAGATGCTTGAGTTTCTGATTGACGGTATCTTTGTAGTTTTAATTGGAGACCAGGTTTTCCAACAGTCAATTGGAATTCCCATGGATACCAATTTCGCCCATTATTAGCAGACCTATTTTTGCATTTAAATGAAACATAATTTTTCCAAAATCTTATAGGTGAAAAGAGGAAAACAGTTGCTGCGGCCTTCAACTCAATATTTAGATACTTAGTATATCGACGACGTATTGTCAATTAACACTTATGTCGATACGATATATCCAGTTGAGCTTGAAATAAAAAAAATTCCACAGAGTCTGACACATCTGTTTCATTTTTACATGTATATAACTTGAAAAGGGCATTAACGATGATCTAACAACTTAGCTTTATAACAAAGGAGATGACAAAAACTTTTCAGTTGGCAACTTCCCTAATTTTTTGCAGCAATATACCTTCATCGGGGTCTGTAGCTTTAAATTGATTCGATGTGCAAGAGCATGCTTTACGTTTAAACACTTTTTAAAATGAGGTAGATTATCAACAAACAGGTTGCTGAAACAAGAATATCAGCAGTCATCATTTCGCAAGTTCTATGGTCGATACATTCATTGCATTGTCAGCAAATACAATTTATCATTAAGTCAAATGCTGACTGACGTTTTTCATACTTGTTAGGCCATTATTTACACTGTCTTGTCGACGGATTTTTCCGTTATTTCACAGACATGATAAGGAGCACAAGGCGGAATGTGTCCTTAATGGCACCTGATCCCCCTCTGGTTTTTTGGATGTCCCTGCTTCTATTTTGTATGGTGTAATAAACTTTTGAGCTTGAATACTGTTCTTTATATCCATAAATTTCATTCTTAAACTTGCTTTATTTACAAAGCGAAATCTTTCAGTTAGATGTAAATTGCTTAAAATCTATTTTACTTACAATTCTATGTCATGATTTTCTGTACATTTTTTTTTCAAGGATTGTTGTATTTGTAATATATTGAATAGTAACTGTCCCTTATGGGGTATGACAGAAGATACCCTATCTTCGTCACTTTTTGTCTATACAATTAGCCAAATTATCATGTCTTATAACTCTTGGTTTATTCTGGTCACAATATTGTGTGTATAACTTTTAATATTCTATTTTTAGGGTTGTGGCATTTTAGAAACCCTTTTGGAAGAATTGTATTGTGTTTTTGTTTGCTGATGTTATTAACCATTCCAATTTCTTAGCTATTTGATGTGTTTATTGTGTCAAACTGAGTCCAACCCCAGCATGCAGTTATTCATGTATATTTGTATATTTATTTTAAGGAAGACAAAGTGAAATATATAAGATAATATGTTATGTATGTTGAAATGTTTCATCGATTCGGTCACTAGTATCACGAAACTTTTGTACAAATTAATTATTTTATGCAACAACATTATTTTATAACATAAATCGGGCATAGTTCAAAGTAAATAGCTTGGCTTTCATCTCTGAATTTCGTATACTAGCTTGAGATATGCACGATGAATGCATGCAGACTGTATTCATTGCCCTATTAACACAAAGGGTCGAGATGCGTGAAGAAATTGTCATCTGGCCGTATAAGTTGAGATTTACGCAGGTGAAAATCACCCTATGAAAAATGATGGCACAAGTAGCCAGCTCATAATTTCAGGTGCGAGGATCGCCACACAAACTTTTTCACCGCAGCAGGGCCCTGTGCTTTTTCTGTTGTCTTACTCTCTACAGAAGAATGCACGCTTTGCCGATATATCTGCTTTTGCTTTCGATCGTGCATTCGTGTCTCGGAGCCTGTACAGTCACACCCATTCAAAATGAGCCCTTAGGTAAGAAAATTTTATTGAATAGAACGTTATTGAACAGTAAGAATTACATTTTGGAGGGGGTACTGGATGTACATTTGCAGTAGCATAACTTATATTACATCAAATGATAACTCATTTGAACATACTGAAATATATTTTGTTGGTTTTAAAATAAAAAATTAAGGCTTTTTGAAGATTTAATCGTATATTCTGATGTTGTTTGGAGCAATCTGTAGAAATAAATTAGGCTATTTAGTATAATATGTATAATTTGACGAAATATTACTTTGAGGTGAGATGAAAATTGTTTATAATTTTTAGCTTGTGGGATATAATCATCTGATATATGGATACGTCTTTTCGCCGTTGTCCGGAGACATACCTGTACATACAGGTGTGTTAAGATCTGACAACCTATAAGTAGTCTGTGGTGCATCATGATTTTTTTTAATGAACTGCAGTTGCATGTTTTGATTTATTTCCTGGTTTCAATCATATAAATAAAAGATTTTTTTTAATAAAAAAAATCAAAATATTTGTTTGTAGAAAAATTGATTTATCACATTCTAGCTACATTTCTGATGTAGAAGTTTCTTTGTGTACTTTTTACATGTATTACACTAAATAATGTCGAAGACTGTTTTAATGTACAGTGTACTAAAGTTCATGACCTCGAAAACCTGCCCAGTATTTAGGCCACAAGATATTCTAGATGTATCGCTCAGTTTTTTAAGGTATCGAAAGCTCTCTGTCATACGGGGAAATAAAAAGTTATTTCCGATTGCGGACCTCTATGAAAAATTATTATGTAAACGTCAATGCTAATCATAATGTACGCATGTAAGATGTTCATATAGCTAAAGTACGTAAATAACCTCATATTATTCATTAAAGGTTTAAAACGTAAACAAAAAATCGAAAAAGAAAATTGAATCATTTTCCTTTTTTACAGCAATGAAGTCATTTCGATATTTCTGTGAATATATCCACAACGACAAAATCAAAGGACCGACAAAAATAAAGTATGGACAAGGTTCCGTATTTGAGGATGTGGATTCCTGTCAGAGGTGTCGATGTAGTCAGCGAGGATTGGATTGCTGCGAGTAAGTAACATGCGTATCAGAGTAACCCCCTCCAAATAAAGACTGAGTGTTCACAGGAAGCCGCACTTTATATCGCCCTTTTGAGTGGGGAACTAGGTATATATCCTTATTGTGGCAGGGGATTGGGTTAAGATATATGGACGACGTATTGTCAATTAACAATGGTCATTTCCATTCCTACGTCGATACGATATACCTGGTGAGCTTGAGATAAAATATACCACAGAGTCTGACACATTTGTTTCATACTTGAATATTTTACTTGAAGAAGACGTTAATGGTAATCTAACAACCAAGCTATATGATAAACGTGATGACTTTAACTTTTCTATCGTGAACTCCCGTTTTTTATGCAGCAATATACCTTCATCACCTGCAAACGGAGTGTATATATCTCAGTTAATTCGATACGCAAGAGTATGCTCTACGTATGAACAATTTCTAAAACGAGGTAAAATATTGACATGCAACTTTAGGAAACAAGAATATAAGCAGTCTCATTTAAAGTCATCATTTCGTAAGTTCTATGGTCTATACAATGACCTTGTCAGCAAATACATTTTATCATTGAGTCAAATGCTGACTGACGTTTTTCATACGAATTTTTGGTCCATTATTTATACACTGAAATGACGACTGATTTTTCCGTTATTTCCCGATCATGACAAGGAGCACACGGCGGATGTGACCGGTCAGCAGGGGATGCTCACTCCTCCATGGCACCTGATCCCACCTCTGATGTTTCGGAGGTCCACGTTTGCTGTGCTCCTATTTTGTATTGTTTTATGGACTTTGACATTGAATACTGTTCGTTATCTCCATATCACCCTTTTGAGCAGACCAGTCGTTTTGTAGATCAGTGACTACACAGCCAAAACTCAGAATATGTATTTAGAATGACATTGAAAACAACGAAAATACTGTCATTTAAGAGATAAAAAGCAGATAATTATATCAAACTTAAAGAAAAAGAGAAAAGGAGGTCGGATTAAGTTTTAACATCGTTTGTTACATAATTATTACCATTCTCTAAGCAAAACTTTAAAGATTGACTATTTCAGAATGTTTTTTCTTACAGGACTGGATTGAAAGTAAAAATAGCACCAAGGTCAATTCCCGTAGAATGTCACATAGTTAAAGAAGGGTGTGATCAATATTTAGTGTACAAAGGCGACAACATCACAGATTGTGCTACTGGTAGACCTGCTAAAATAGTACGCCAAGAACAAATTGCGCAAGACAAACGAAGTCAATATATCGAAGATATGCTCTACAAAGAAGTAATGCAAGATATGGATGGAACATCCGGAGCCAATAGAGAAGTCGAAGGAAATTTCAAGCAATGGGTTCTTTTAGACTACTTTCTGAATGACGCATTTGTTGGCCGAATTCCATCTCCCATTGTGGATCAACAGAAGACTCCAGCAGAACTCTCCGGGTCTTCACCAATGAAAGCAAACACAGCTGATTCAACTATCGGCTCGCTTACAAAAGGTTTTGTTGACAGTCTTGGAGGCCCGGATGCTGCGCGCGCAACCATAATGGAGAGAATTAAAAACTATGACATTGGTAGTCCACATAACCAGGGACTGAATGACAACCTTCCACTTCTTTACCTTCTATCAACTTTGATAAATTAGAAAATCCGGTGAATACACAAATTAAGCTCTCAATTTGTTATATATGTTTTCAGAAAGAATTCAAAAAGTGTATTGTATAGTAAAAAGGCGTTCTCCAGTTTTCTTAACTGCGAGAGTTAATCACATATTCGAGTACATATTCTGAAATGGGCAATATCCCCAAGGAATCACACATACGTATATTAACTCTCTTAGCGTGTTTTTATAACATTCAAAAGGAGACTGCTTATACGTATCTGTGTTGTAAAAATACCATACTCATGTATTATAGTCCTATGTAAACAACTATAAGGAACTGCACATATGTAATAAAATTATTGATTCTATTTTTATTGATTTATATTTAATATGAACATTCTAGGGCTTTTAAGTTTGCCCTGTATGCCTGATTTTTTATAGTAAAGAAAATCACAAAAATTCGAACGACAATGATCTTGGATCTTAATTTGAAATTTGATTAGTAAGAATGATCCATGTCTCGGAACAGGCTCTCACTACGGTTAAAACGATTCCCCTATACTTTCAATGTAGTAGAGAATTGCAGATCCGTTCTAAAATGATTTTGGCGAAAATAAATATATATTTATCATAAACAAGATATGTTTGTGAAACAATGATGCCCTCAAATGGCAGCTTATCTAAGTATTAGTCACATTATCCAGCGATGGGGCATGCGATGAGAAACCGATACTTTTTTTGATAAAAATGGCGTGGTTGCCGGCCGGACAACTATAGTAATCGGACGGTGACTGAGGCCATTTGGCGAATCGGTGGGGGTCGTCGGTTGAAAATAAGTTATAGTTAAAAATCACCGATGTATCCACATCGCTCCTCATCGGCAACCCATCATTAACACATCTTTCAAGGATTGGCCGATGTATGGCCGAGCATCTTCAAGTAACCGTTGAATCTGAAGTCTTAGGGGGATTGAATGGTGGGCAACAGACGTCGGCCGGTCATCGGTCGATGTTCGACCAAACATTGGCCAATAGCCGACCGATGTTCGAACAATGTTCACCAATGTATGAGCGATGTAATATACACCGGCCGATTATCCTGGAACATCGTGTTATGGTTAGCAATGCATCGCCGGACTTTGTAAGTCCGTCCGGCAACCACGCCATCTTTATCAAAAACGCATTGGTTGCCCATCGTATACCCAATCGCTAGATAATGTGACTGATACTTTAAGGAATGCTAGGCCGATGTGGACCGATGCAGGGGCATCGCTCACACCACAGATTACCACTGGTCTACGGCCACCGGCCGGGAATGTGACTAAGGCATAAAGGGACAAAATGTCGATCCAATATCTACAGCGGTAGCACAAAATTTACAATGGGTCGATCCTGAGTTATCTTGGTACTGATAAACTGGGCATGGTGTGCAAGAAGTAGACTCACTAAAGCTGCTAAATTGTCCCGGCGGACATGCCTGACAAATACTGGCACCTTGGGCATCACTGAATGTTCCTGCTGGACATACTTTGCACGTAGCTGAACCTACAGTATCGGTAAATTTTCCTATTGGGCATTTCTTGCAGTTACTGGCACCTTCAGTATTACTGAATTCTCCTGTTGGACATGCTTTGCAAACGGAAGTACCAACGTTGTCACTGAACTGTCCAGTAGGACAGATCTTACATGCAATTGTCCCAGTACTGTCTGCGTACTGACCAAGAGGACATGACATGCAAGTACTAGCGCCCTCTGTCGAGCTATACTGGCCTAATGGACATGGTGAACAACTCGTTTGTCCGGTACTGCTTTGATAATGCCCTAACAAGCATCCTTTGCACCAACTCTGTCCTGCTGCAGTTGTATAGTTTCCCGCTGGACAGTCTTTACAAGAACCTGATCCCACTTTTCCATACCTGGGCAAATATTTCCCCGCTGGACATTTCACACAAGATGATCCATCTAAATATGTTCCATACCAGCACTCTGAAATTGAAGTAGGCTTTATTTAAGAAATAAGATATCATTTTTAGAGTTTCATTGGGATGTGACATGAAGTCGGTCACGTGATCAAATTCTATAACGCCCGAAGGGCGTTATAGTAGATTTGATCACGTACCGACTTCATGTCACATCCCATGAAACGCTAAAAATGATATCTTATTTCTTATATTTATATTTTACTTTTATTCGTGTTTCAAGGAAAAATAGACGCTATTTGGATATTGTTATAGAAATGCAACATAACGTAACTACGGCGTCATATGACGTCACAGTCAAGACTTCCTAATAGTCTCGTGCGGTTTGCCCAACTGCATGTCATTGAAAATTGAATGTCAATTCAATTTATATTGTCACATAAGGAAAGACATTAGCAAATGTAAATATGTAAGAAATAAGATATCATTTTTAGAGTGTCATTGGGATATGACATGAAGTCGGTCACGTTATCAAATTCTATAACGCCCGAAGGGCGTTATAGTAGATTTGATCACGTACCGACTTTATGTCATATCCCATTGGCACTCTAAAAATGATATTTATTTCTTATATTTATATTTTTATTTCTATTCACATTACAAAGACAAAATGCTCTATTTAGACTTTGTTATTGAATGCAACATAACGTATAAATACGACGTCATATGACGTCACAGTCAAGTCTTTCCAAATGTCTCGTGCAGTTTGCTTTCCATACGCAAGAAAGTCTATCATGTCGTTGAAAATTGAATTTCATTTTTTTAGTATCGTCATATAAGGAAAGACATTGGCAAATGTAAATATTTTTTTCTGATCAGTGTAGTATGTGGGCGAATTAAGAAAAACTTGATTTAAACTTTAAGATAGATATTATTTTGATTTTTATTATATGAATGATAGAAGTTTTTAATAAAATTTTAAATCCGACAAATATTAAATTCTATCTCTAGTAATAATTTAGATTTTTTAAAAAGTTTTTGTGAGGTGGTACTTATACGAGTGACAAATCATTTTAATGCTGCATTGAAACATTTTATTCCGCAAGATATTCCGCAAGAAAGTTGATTTTTGAACACACCAGTATTTAAAATGAGGAGAGAGCACAAACAATAACATATGAATAAGTATTGTTGAAACTAAGAACATACTTCATTAGTTGTACATAAAATGACTTGGTAGTTTTGATGATTCTGTCTAATATATAGTTTATAAATTATCTGAATTGTTTAATATAAAATACATAAGGACCTTGCTGTGGACAACTGGAAACTCGATGGCATCAAACATTTTTTTCCAATTATTTGAGAAGTATAGAAATCCAGAAGTTAATAAATTGTCCCCATAATGTGGGGATGAAGTGTTTTCTTTTTTTTTTTTTCCAAAATAACCCTAGCTACAACCTACTGCATTTCATCGCCGATAATTCATAAAGCTAGATTATACTTACTACATTCACTAAATGTCTTCTTCCATATTCCATTTGTATCACATGTGAAATGTTGCTTACTCGGGGTTGGCGGGATTGTACAGTCAAACCAGTGTTTTCTGCCCGTTTCTCTCCGAACATTCCGTGGTATTATGTCTGGTATAACATCAGAGGTGTCGCATTCTGTAAATCAGCATATGAGGGTTAGTAACAAATTCCTTCTTTCAAAAAAAAAAGGGGAATCTTTACATTTCTTTTTGAAATTAAAAAGATGTAAGCGTTAATAAATATTGGGGAACCGGAGTCGGTTATCTTATCTTGTATCGGTAGGGGGCGCCACAGGAAAATGCGGTCCATTACAAAAGTGATAAAACCTGTGAAGATGGATAATCAGCATCCATTCTCGAATACGATATCGGAAAGCACACACGTTTCAGTTACAATCCTTAATTTACTATGGCATATGTGGTATATATATATATATATATAGAATAGTTTGGAGCAAAGAAATCAGGAAGGAAGTGGGAACTTGTGGAGAGGTAAATAAACATACGATGTTTTCATGCAAATCCAAGTAAACATTATTAATAACACAGTAAATAATTATCAATGGTGTGTAAAAGATTAACATTAAGTCAAATTGACAGTAAATATCAGAATTACCTCGTTTAAGAAACTAATTCTTAAATAATCTGCAACTTTAGCGTGTTAGATTTTTAACTTGAATTTCCTCGGTAATTCTAACATCGATCTCATATTGCTTGGTGCTTGCAGTAAAATAAGAATACTTCTCTACATTTTTATTATGAAGCAGTATTATTATTTCCTGATTGTTGCAGCTATGTTTCACTCAAAATATACATGAAAAAGAATTAAATATGCTTATTTTATTGCAGACTTGAAGCCTACAGAAGAAATGCACATTGTGCTAAGACCGATGTTTATGGACCTGAGTTTATGATGATGACGCCAGATCAGTTCCTTATATCAAGCAGTCTGGAAGTAAATTTTATTTGAATAAAACCCATGACTATTACTATCAGGTCCAAGGACAACTTTACTGTGCAGAGAAAAATGAGTGTATATTTGTTGTGTATACTTTCAATGACTTTTTGTTCTTTGCAATAGAAAGGGATGATAAATTTATTGATGAGATGAAGAAAAAATTGAATGAATTCTATGAAGATTTTTTTAAGTCTGCTCTATTGGAAAAAACTTTTTTCAAGACATATGATGGAAAATGTAGTTGCAATAAAGAAAAATGAAATAAAGACTTTTTTCTCTTATTATGTCATTTTTAATACCAAGTTATGCATAAGATGGCACTATGCAATTCTTAAAATTACACAACATGAAACAAACATAGATTATTTCTGAAGAAAGTTTTGTTTCAGAACTATTCATAGGCTCAGTCAGAATTTTGAATGTTTTTGCAAGTCCAATGATCCTCTCAATGTGCACACGTTTGCTGGATATTTTTCGGTCCTCAATCACAGTAGCACATGACATTCTGTTTTTCTTTTTGAAAAATGTTGGTGTATTTATTTGAATGTTCCTGTGTACAAACATATCCTGCACATTGAAACCTTTGTCCGCCATTATTGAATCTCCAGAATTGCACATTTCCAACAGCCTACTTCTTTCGACTATTTGACGGTCACTTGTGGATCCCCCATAAGCTGTAGAAATATAAGATGTTAATCCACCTGGTGTCGCTCCTACAAGAACTTTTACCGTGTTACGGTTTTTATAGGTAGAATACGTTGCTTGCTGTGGCTTTGGTAACTTTGGTCTTTTAATTGGACACTCTGTGCCATCTATTATCACTCTAGTATTTGGAAATTTTGTTTTAAAATCTGATGGACAGTAATATTTTACAAGATACTTTGTAGGCCAAATGTGATTTCCTGCCATTGCTTACTCATGAATAAAATCCATGTAAAAAATATATTTGATACAGTCTTTTCGGAAACTCCAAATAATCTTGAAAGTTCAAAATTGGTCGTATGGCGCCGTAACTTGCAGAGGACTAAGAAAAATTGGTCAGGAACACTTATGTTTGAAACCTTATGATAAATATAATTCAAACAGTGAGCTGCCAGTCCTAAGGTTCTTAAAACAAAATAAAATTTAGTTAGAGTTTCAAATCCAGTATAGAAATTTACTCCGGCATCATCATTTGTAAAGTTTTCAATACTCATTGGGGGATACCGAGGAGTTTGTGTCTGTACATCAAAAAATTTAATGTCAGATTTCTGAACAGTGACTTGAATTTCTTCAGCCAAAATTTGGGTAGAGTTAGATACAATTTCCTCGGATACTTGCAGATCATCAGCTGATGTATAGATGAATTCATCTATGGAAGACGAAGCAGAAAATTCTTCTGCTAGTTTTCGATTGATGCCTCTGGACTTGGCTCTGTCGGCTCGTTCATGTGAATGTGGACTTGGCTCTACCCAGGGAAAAATGCTTGGCACTGCAGTTTTCTTCAATCTTTTACTTAAAGGAGTAGTTTAAGAATTAAATTATTTAATATATCAATACTTGTTCATAGTACTAGATTATTTATTAAATAATTAATTTATAATTTGAACTAACTTTTTAAAGCAAATAAAACAAATATAAATTTACTAAAATATTTTTATTATTACAAGTATTTTTGTTATAAAATTGATGTTACAAAACATGCCCATGTGTTTATTAATTCAACTAAACAGGTCAAATTTGTTTTTAAGCAGGGTGCTAATTAGACATCAATGTCAAAACACAGTATCTTGTACTGGTAGATATGCATAAATTATCAGGCAACAGCATGTGTTCTTTTAGACATGCCTTGTGTTTATATTGTCAAAAGATAATGCGTTTGTAATAAATGACCAGTAATTGAAGTTGTCAGTGGGGAGTCTGCATGTGGCAGTGTCTGTAACGTTATCAGATTACTTCGTATGAGAGGTAAACAATGGATTAGATATTTTAGTGCATTTCATCTAAGCAAATAAGGCATAAACATTGCTCAGAATAAAATCTATTAACATTACTTTGCACATGCTTATCAAAGATTTCAAAATAAATAAATAAATATTGTTACCATGCTGGGTTTCAGTCAAATAGTCGTCTGATTTAAAATGTGCTCTGCAAACAACAGCATGAGTTGACGGAGTCCAGCTTTGAAAACGAGTTTCACCACGTTTTATTGCGTGTATCCATGCTTTTCTTCTTAACGGATCTGTTGGAAATATATGGCCACCCCGATTACTACAATTCGGCACACAACAACAAGTTTCAGGCATGTTTTACGAGCATGTGTTTGACAGCAGATTGTTTACGTTTTTCTTCGATCGGTAACTACTGATAAGGCGCGAGGGTGTTCCGATACAGGACCGTGTTTGCCTGTGGCGCCCTTGAAAAAAGAAATGGAGCAGGTTCCTAATTAGGTGTTGAATCAAGGTAAAAAAAACTATATAATAAAAAAATATAGAGAAATTATAATAGAGCTATTATTATATTAATATTAAATAAAGGGAAAATCCTTAATTCTAAGTCCTTGAAGATTGGTGACTATGAAATCTTTGGAGGTCATGTAACTTTTCGTAGATTTGACTTATGAGTGAATTTTTATTGCTGGCTATCTGTCCCTTTGTAACTAGTAGTGTCCGAAAAATTTCACACTTGTATTTCATTATTTATTCTCAAATATTTGTGACAAGATAATCTTGTGTCCAAAAAATTCGAACTTCGAATAAGGAAAGAGGCATCTCTAAATTTACCAGGATAAAGCTTAAAGGCACGTTTAGATATTCTGAAATGTCCATTATTTTGGAATAAAAAAATTTTTCTGAAACTTATTGAACATCTAACTCTGACTTGCATCACTTCTGCAGAATTTGCTTTAAATGCATAAATTTATATTTTAGTGAGGAGTATAAGGAAGAAAAAGAAGAAGATGGAGAATTCCATGTAAATGAAACCAGTCATGTTTCTTTTAAAGGACTCTTTTTATAGTTTGGAAATCCTGCATGGATGTGCCAATTCAAATTCTATTTAAAAGTAGGGAATATTGCAAATTATCAAATTGGAAATTTATTGGATTACTGTATTGTGGAATATATAATTTGGATTACTGTATTGAGGAAATAAACAAATAAAAATTCCTCTAAAATACTTTCTTAAAGATAATTCTTATAAAAACAATGTTGTGTCTTCATTTTTCAAATTTATATAATGTACATATCTATCGTTCAATCAATCTACAAATAATTCCCTTTTCACTTTTGAATAATTGAAAGCAGAATGAATAATGGTTTTTCCATTGCTCCTCATCGGCTTCATTTAAATTTTCAATATTCTTCTGATACTTCTACTTCATTATGATAAGAAGTCAAGGTCTTTATTTTTTTCCTTCTTGGCCCATAGTCTTCTTGAATTTTTCAAAAAATTTACACTTTTCATGAAATTTTGAATCGAGCTTAAAGATAAAGATTCTTTAAATTTTGGCCTTCTCAAAATAAATGGTCCTTATTATTAATTACCTAAACGTCATCAATAAAGACATTTTTAAAATTTAAAAGTACAGTTTATAACTTTATACTGAATGATTTTTAAAAGAAATACAAGAACAAGAAGTAACTTAATACAATATGCACTGTCTTTGAGCTTTATAAAATACCACTGTAAAAATTCAGAGACAGAAAAATTACATAAGGACTTCCAATTATATTCTTAGGATTCAGAATGAATTCATAAAGTTCTACATGAAAAGAGAAAAAACACTTGTCGTGGCCTTTAACACGTGTACATGTTTTGATACATAGACTTAAGTCTAGTTTTATAAATTGACAATAGCTACTTCCATTAAATGTCAATTCTATATCTTGCAGTGATGTTGAAATAAAAGGCGCCCTAGAGTTTTTCACTCCTCTTTCTTATTTCGATGTTTTAATGAATATAGCCAAAAGGGTCAACTAAAAACAATAATGTAAACTTTATTTTTAATGTGGTAATATTCCGCTATCACCTATATATGGTGCATGTTCCAACTTTTTTGATATTCAAGAGCATGCTTTACGTACGATGCTCTGCCTCTAATGATTGGTTGATTGATTGAATAGTGCTTAACACCGAGTCGGCAATTTTTCAGCCATGTTTCGGAGGGTTCTGCCTCCAAAGGTCCAAGGTCCAAACCTATTACTCTGTTAAACATATTGTTATTTATATTACGTCTCTTTAAAACGATAAAAATCATTGCATCTTGGTCTCTCAGAATATTCTTTACTCAATTACAATTCAGCATGTATGAAAACATAAATGAAAAAGTTGCTTCGTTCTGCGTTTACAAGGAGTTTAAGCTAAGCAACGATATTTGCAATAAATTAGTTTGATTTAATCTAATTTGAGTTAAATTTTACGTCTGGAAGCTGTTAAAATTTAATACACTACAACTACTTTTATTAAAGATCATAAAATTACAATAAAAAGATACCGTACCCGTGGTTACACATGTTGGTTCTGTGAAGTTGATAAAGACACATTTTTGGTTGGCCAAACACGAAAGATTGCAAAAATTCTGAAATGTGAAAATAAACTCAAAAGTCCAATAAACACAACAAAATAGGAACAGACCAAACACGGACATCTATAAATATTAGAGCCGGGACCTGATGCCATGAAGGAGTAAACATCCCCTGTCAACTGGTTAACTGGATCCTTGTCTTGATCGAGAAATAACGGAAAACACCATCGACAAATCAATGTGTAAATAATGGTAAAATGTTATTATTTTTTAACCAATGAAATTCTAGATCATCGTTTGACTATCAAGCGTCTTAAGTGTCAATATTTATGAAAATGTGTTTTATTTATTTATTTATCTATTTTTTTTTTACTCATCCGTTTTTTGCTCATATTTGATCTCTCAAGAAAAATTAAATACTAGTACATTGTAATTTATAAACTGACAATTGTATACTCGACGCATTATTATATTTTATTTATTAATGGAAAGCTTTAATTTTCAGTATTAAATGACTAAAAAGATTAAAGTAAAAACTCCGAAATAAAAGAAATTGAATAGCAATAAAAAAAAAACAGCATCCCTGCATGTATGTTGTTGTATTCATATCTGATTCAAATAAAATGTAGAAAAATGTAGGAACCCTCATGAAGATATCAAAAATCAAGAAAGATTGAACCTCTCAATGCATACTGTGGAATCATTTTAATACGTGGCGGTCAATGTTCGTGGGTAAGCAAATTTTTACCTGTTCGTGGGGACGTAATTTCGTGGGTTAGTCGTATATACAATGTTAAAATGTGTCAGTATGGTAACAAAATAAACGTTCGTGGGGATGTAAATCCGTGGGTAATGGTGACCCATGAAATCATCGAATATGGATCCCCCACGAACATTAATAATTCTACAGTATATAAAATAAATTTATAAATTCTTACCGGACATGGAGAGATCAGAGAATTGCATTTGGCTTTGTCCATGTAAACGTACTCATCATGACCATTCTTGGATTGCAGCCCAGGGTTGTGCTCATAGTTGATCTCACAAGAAAAATTAAATACATTGTAATTTATAGACTGACAATTTGTATACTCGACGCATTTATTGCAACAAGAACGCTTTCCGATACTGTTGTATCTTCTCAAGAGTTTGGCATCCAGCCTATGACCAAATATATATTCACCAGCTTCACTAGATATGAATGGCAATAAAGACAGGAAAAACAACCAGAACATCTCGGATGATTTTTCGTGTTTCTCTTACAAGCTTACATGTTATTAAGATTCATTATGCAATGGAAATCTGTTTTTTCTTTATAAATACCCACTTGCTTTATCGATAAATCATAAAATCCCGGATGCGTATTGTCGTAAACATTTGTTATGTTTTTAATTGTTTTAGCAGGAATTCTACGGCCTCAATACTTTACTTATAATCAATAAAGGTTTATCAATATAAATATGAATATGAAAGCAAACACGTATATCTATCGTTCTATTTATATGAAAGTCTTAACCTTCAGTATATATACAACAGCAAATCTAACGCCACATTCAAACCTGTAAGAAACATTTCAATATCACAAAAATATCATTTTTAGAACTGATTTTTGAAGTTGATAATGCATTTTTGATACATGTATGTTGTCAAGCGTCCATCAGTGCTGGCCACACAACATTTCATTTTAGGTCATCTCAGTCATACTGGTGGCATTATTGGTGTATCTTTTGTCCTTTAACCTGAGTTGTCCGTCTTCGGTCAATCGTGAACATTTAAACCTTACATATATTTCATGGTCTCTATTTCACTTAAGCATGAGGATGTGTTTCTCAGTTGAATAGACACGATATATGATGGCTGTTCAATAATTATTATTATACCTCATTATGAATATTCTACACAACGCGTTTTCTGATTGGTTCTAGATCATCACGTGATCGGGCCGTAAAACTTCATATTTCCCGGTCGTCTGCACGCTTTTCATCATATTCCACCTCTTCGGATACTTAGTGCATTTTCCCGCAATAATTATCCTTCATTAAAAGAAAACTCCCGAGAATAGTAGACGTCACAATAGCCTGCTTTACGTCACAAAATTGATGATAAAGTGTTGACCAAAGGGTTCACGTTAAAAATGAAAGTGAATTTGAGAGCGTTGCCGAATTTGAAAGTTTATGTTTATTTCAAAGGTTTTGCTTGTTTCGGTATAATAAACAATTCATTGCATGAATGTTCGAAAAACATGAAGACTTATTCAGCCAAGAAATATCATATTCCCCTCGGGTGAAGCCCTCGGGGAATATGATTTTCTTGGCTGAATAAGTCTTCATATTTCCCTCACTATCATGCAATAAATGTATAATGTCCTGAGCTCTATGACATACAACATAGAAATCATATGACATTAAGCTTAAGTTTTTCTCATGATTGAATCGTTGATGAATTTATTACAGTTTATGGGACCACTTTTCATCACATAGTTTCATTGTGAGAGGCTTGAAAACAAGGGCTATTCGAGACACTGCATTAAAAATGAATGGTAAAGAAGCAGTAAACTGGAGTGAAATTAAAACGCTTCATTAAAGCCGTTGTAAACCTCGTAAAGATTCCCAAAGAAATATTCACTGAAATTTGTGAAAGTTACAGCAACCAGTGTCTGTTTATAGACACTTGAGCAGATGGATTTCAATGAACAGAAATGATATAATGGGCATCTCAAATGGGTACCGTCCTTGGCAACAAGGACTTACAACAACCAATGTACTGTTTGCCAAAATTCAACAAATTATCACTTACGATGTTTGTTTGACTTTAAGACACCCAGCAAAATTGAGTTTTCACTGTATTAATAAACATTTGACGGAAAAAAGTACTCAATGGTCACCCTATGTTTTGAAAAATGAGTGAAAACGACAGCGTGTAAGAATATCTAAATAATTTTTTTTTTAAATCAAAAATTATTTCTAAAAATCCACATTTGTCTAAAATATAAACATATACACTGTAATGAAACTTTAAACCCTGAAAACAAATTAACAATAGGATGCACTTGACAAAAACAGCCAAGGTCCGAGAAGAGCAAAGAATTGCAAAAGCACAAAACAGTTTATATGCCATTTCCTTAAATTTCAGCTGTCTTGCTGTACAAATTCTTATCCGGGTGGCAGTTCAATTTCTGGAGAAGTCTACAAAGCAAATTTTTGCAAAAACGCAAAAGGTTTATGAGAGGATGGAACCAGAATCAGGAATCATCTTTATTAAATTTCATCATTACAGCGTCCAAACCAACATGCCATAAAGAATAAAGGAGTTTTGGGGATAAAATGTAGTTATTGTTTTGATACACCACCAATATTCCTCGAATCCTTTCATCCTTTGAATTGTTTTATTTTTCAAAACTTGAAATAACACCTTTCAGAAAGAAGAACCAAGTCCAGGAAGTCATAGAATCTGCCATATTCCAGTATACGAAGAACCATACTCAAAAATGTGTTCAAAAACAATCTGAAATTAGATAGAAATGTTACGGACATGTGTTTTAATTAAAAGAGAATATTAAATGAAATCAATAAGACTAAATCATTAAATGCATTTTCTTTTGTTTCTTTCCGAGCACCGAGGACATTATGTATTGAACAGCCCTGGTAGCATACTCTTTACTCAAGATATTGACGAACAAGTTGATGAAAGAAAAACATCAAAAGTCTTTCTTTAAGTCATTATATACAATTTTAATGGTCGATACAATTACCTTGTCAGAAAATATAACCTATCATTTAGTTAAATACCGACTGATATTTTTCAAACTTATTGTTAAGTCTTTAACTTCACATTGAATTTTCAAGGGATTTTCCGAGCATGATAAGGAGCACGCGGCTGGTATGACCGTTAGACTGGGGATGCTAACCCCCTTCCCCTTGATACCTGGTCCCACCCACCTCTATTTGTATTTTAAAATTTCTTTGAGATGGAATACGGTTCGTTATCTCAATATTTCATTTAAAGAAATCTGTATAACCGTGTTATTTTTTTCTTGAAATGTTTTCTTTCATCCATAAAACTTAAGAAATGAATAAAAAAAAACTTTAAGTGTGTAATGTTGTCGTCAAATTGCTTAAAGATGGAGGACAGAAGGGTCCCTCATAAAATTTGACAGCACTTCAAAAATTTTAAATAATAAAGTTTAATGTTATCAGCGCACACTAAAGAAAATGAATCATATGATAAAGCAAAGACGCTGAGTTCATTTGTTTTTTTTTAAATCTATTTTTATAGACTAGCTATTGACGTTGATATAAGCTAGATGAATTTCAAAAGTAAATAAATAAATACGTACATATTCTAAGAAAGATAACCTTTGCTTGAATGTTGCTTCATTTTTATAATGAAAGAAATTGCCTTAGAAATGAAATAAATGAAAAGAACAGAAAAAAAAACATGCATGACTTTTAACCACATGTATAATGTCACGGTTGCGTCTATTATTATTAATTTTGATATATACATGTATGTTTAGGAATACATTATTTCTAATTTTTGTTAAGAACTGTAGGTCGTTTTTGACCGTCTAGTCTGTACTTTGATTTGAGATATTATCACATAACATATACATCACTTTTCAGCTTCAGTTTAACAATAAAAATTGATATACAAGTGTCGAGTGCACACATTCCTAAACAAATTATAACAAATTATAACAAATTAAAGACATTTTTTCCTTTGAAACGTAACAAAATCAAACATTTATATACTCAGTAATCTCTTGAAATTTCTATTTTTGTTTTTGGGAGAGAGCAACAATTCCAAAGGGCCTCCATGATGGTGCAGAACTATTTTGGGGCGACTGCAGGCAAGATAAATTGCATTCCATATAAAGAAAAACAATATGGATTACTGCAAATGTATTGGATTCTGACATGCTTTACCAAGAGTGCTTCAAGCTCGTGCACATGGCGTAAATGTTTATTCCTGTTCAACACAATTAATTTTGCTTGATTAATATTGATTTCAAAGTAACTTAATAATGTAAACTGCTTGTACATGCACCATTTATTGCATTCCTGGTTCTTGATTCGTTTTAAACTTTGATCGATTTTCTTAATAATAAGGAGTAAAATTAAGTTTCAATATACAGTGTAAAGATTTAAGTATTTTAAATATAATGAGATATACAATAATACTGAATACATAACATGATTATAAAGAAAAGTTTGCTTTATTACAAAACGGTTGCCATCAGATAAGAACTTGGGAGAAATATCACATACAATTCTTAGCACTTCAATTACAAAGATCAAATTCTATTTTTTCAAATAAAAATCAACTGCACTATCAATCTTATTAGCTAGTATGTGATATGTGCTGTATTGCACGAAAACAAACTGTGTCGGTGAACACCGTGCCAAAAAACATTTTAGGTAATAAGGAAGATGAATGCATTGAAAATGGGGAGAGGGTTACAACGCATATATAGCTATTCAACTTATTTGAATTTTTTAAATACAAATTATATAGCAGTCTGACTCAAAGATATTTCAAGGAATACGTATTCAAAAGCCCCATAAAATAATACGCAAAAGGATTAGAGCAAAAACGGACCACCAAAACCATAGAGGTGGGATCAGGTGCCATGGAGGAGTGAGCATCCCCTGCTGACCGATCACACCCGCCGTAAGCTCCTCGTCATGATCGGGAAATAACAGATACATCCGTCGTCAACTTAGTGTGTAAACAATGGACTAGCAATAAGTATGAAAAACATCAGCATTTGCAATTGACTTAATGATCAACTGTATTTGCTGACAAGGTCATTGTATCAGCCATATAACTTACAAAATGATGACGTTAAACGAGACTGCTCATATTCTTGTTTCATCAAATTGGTTGTCAATAATTATAATTTACCTCGTTTTAGACATTGTTCATATGTAGATCATGCTCCCGTGTATCGAATCAACTGATATATATATATATATATATATATACTCCGTTTGTAGGTGATGAAGGTATATTTCTGCATAGGTAAGTGAAGTTGACGATAGAAAATTTTAAGTCATCACGTTTATCATAGAGCTTGGTTGTTAGATGACCATTAACGTATTTTTCAAAGAAAATATTTAACTATAAAACAAATGTGTCTGACTCTGCATTTTCTTTATCTCAAGCTCACAGGGATATCGACATAAGGATGGAAATAAACATTTTTAATCGACAATAATACGTTGTCAATATATTT